ATTATTATTATTATTATTTTGCATTTGTTACTTTTGTTTGTAAAGCTTGGGAAAGAAGACAGCATGCTCTGTATCCCGGATGAGTTTATGATTGCGATGATATTTTTGTGGGGCTTGTTGTGATATGAATGCAGTCATTCTGTTTTTTATGTGTGGAGTGTCTTGTAAGCCCATGAGGGCTGGGCACCAGAAGGTGCATGACACTTAATAAAATCAATCAATCAATCAATCAATCAATCAATCAATCAATCAATCAATCAATCAATCAATCAATCAATCAAACAATCAGTTTTTATTTTCTTTAGGACTGGTACATTTATGCATTAAGCCCCTAGAGCTTTTGTCCATTTTCTACAGACCAAACTTTCCTTTGACAGTTTGTATCTCAGACTGAAAAAACTTCTAGATTATTAATATTATATTACATTTAATATTAGCAGCAAATGTTTTCATTAACTTTGTGTGATTATAATAAAACAGATGTGTCTGAACTAAATACAGTGAAATTGAATTTACAATGATATTCTGCACGCAGCAATCAGAGATATGATACGAACAAACCTGGATGATCAGGTCTTTAATTGTCCTCAGGTCCAAACTGGTCCACAGAGGTGATCAGGTCTTGTTGTAGCTCACTGTGGACCAGCAGCTCCTTCAAATCAGACATTGATAATTTATACTGACTGGTGTTTAATGCAGCACAAGAGATGAGTGGGCATTGATTGCTTTATTGGTTTGGTTCATGTCTTGTCATATTTAAAACGTATAATTGTTTTTATTTGGTTTATTCTTTATCATTTTTTACTGTTTGTTTTGTGTGTAGCACCAACAGCAATTTTTAAGGTGCTATGTAAATGAGTTTGATGTGATTACTTTTTGATTTTGTAGTTTTTATATTACAAAACATAAAATTTTGGGTTTTACCATAGTTGAAATTTATGTAAAAATAAAGACACACATCTAGCAATCCTAGTAACTAAAATAGAATAGAATCTTACTTTTAAATCAAGTATGTCTTCAGAAATAATCTGTTTCAGTCTAATCTGGTATTTTAGTCAAAGTGAAGTATTTTGTCAAAATGTTGACTTGCGTGAGAGAATGAGAGAATATGCAGTTGAATCTTGAATCTTTAATTTAAACCAAATTCATTTTAAAAGTAAGTTGCTGCCCATCTTTTATGGAGTTGATGCCTCTCAGCAAGAAGGTCGCCGGATCAAATCCCAGCCCAGGGACCTTTCTGGGTAGAGTTTGCAGACCAAAAACATGACTGTTAGGTTAATTGTTAACTCTAAATTGTCCCTACATGTGAGTGACAGAGTGAATGGTTGTCTGTCTCGTTTGTCTGTGTCTCTATGTGTCCCTGTGATGGACTTGCAACCTGTCCAAGTTGTACCCCGCCCCTCACACTGTGACTGCTGGATATGGGCAACAGTGACTCTGAAAGGAAGAAGTGGGTATAGATAATGAATGGATGGATGGATGTTTAAAAAAGATCACTGGCCTCACATGAATATTTACTAGAACATTACTTTGTTTATATATTAATATATTAATATATTTATTCATTCAAAATGTAAATTTCATGAAAAGAAATCTAATAATTATCAATAGACTCTGAAGCAGACCTCTAAGGTTCACAATCAATCCTGTTTTAATGAAAATATGTCATCATTATTATTGATTACAGATATGTGGTGATAACATAAAAAATGATAAAATGCATATATTACTCTAACCCTTTATGCTAACATCATCATGTGACCAAAGGAGAAAGTTACAGCTGTTTTGGACAGACTCATTTTTGGTCAAATCTAAACGATGTTATCCCAGTATCAACAAGGATCTCATCTACTGCCAGATCTTGTGAGATCTGTTAGAGCTTGAAAAATGCTCTGAAGTTGACTCTCAGCTACTACCACTTCAAAGTTTTCTCAGTATCTGTAAAACTGACTTGAGTATTTTGTATCGACCAATGTCGATTATCTGAGCAGACCTCTTGAACTGGATCGACTCCAGATATAAATGAATTGTAGACACGAGTCTTTTCTAAGTGTTTCACTAAAATCTATCCTGTGGTTTATGAAATATTTTGCTAACAGGACAGACAAATGAACACACAAATACAGGCAGAAACATTACTGTCAGTGATGAAAAACAAGATTTGTCACATCTGTTTCAACATGTGGGACTAATATTTTTTAAAAACAATCTGCATTATACAGGAAGCTTGATAAGATGTGATCATTTCCTGTTTCCACACATTGTTGATGTTTTTGTGTTTCTGTTGACAGATGGCTGTGTTAGTTCTGGAACCCTGGAGTTGGATGTTGGCCCCACAGCCGTGCAGAGGAGCTCTCTGCCTGTTGCTGCACACATGCTTCAGCAATATGTCGCTCATCTGCTGTTGCCAGACCTGTTGGGGATGGAGGGGGTGCAGGTGGTAGTGGTGGGGAGTTCTATCAGGTTTAAGCTTTTATTTTTGTTTCGGGTTTTTTTTAGGTCATAAAAATACAGCAGTGAAATTTTATAAGTAGAACATCAACGGGTATTTTAACCACTTTAACTCAGGTTATCTTCAGTTATTTCCTGCCTACTGCTTCAGCTAATCACCTGCTGAAAGTTCAGTCAATTTCACAGATACTGTGCTAAAAATGAGTTCAGTTGTAGCCGAGAATCATTCTCACTGCTTACTTTGAGCTCTACAAAATGTGTAAGCTTAAAACTGTGGCTTTTTCTGAGTCAACCCTGTTTGTTTGTTAGCAAATTATCATGAGCAACTAAATGGATTTTGATGAAAATTTCAGAATGCAATAACTGGATATAAATGATTAACTATTTTGAATAATCAAAGATGGTCGCCACATGTAATCTATATTAGCCAAAATGCCGCACAACTTCACAGAGATTAATCTAAATTTTGACTAGTAACTGAGAGTCATTCACAGCACAAACTTTGAGTGTGACCTCTCATGACATTGCATGAAATTGAGTATAAAGTTATTCAAGGTTTAACTAAAACAGTTCTGTCATTTCAACAATGTGTCGGTCGTGAAATTTGATTAAAATATGTCTCTAATCACACATGACTATGAATACAACATGTAGCAAATTGATAAATTGATGCATAAAATAACATATTTCAGTCAGAAATGCACATATTTAGTGAGCACACCAGCTGAATTCTGCTTCACTCACAGCCTGACCCTCCAGGATTTCTGCACACAAGCTGGAAATGGCCTGCTAGTGCTGTAATTATTGCTATAAATGACTTTGGCAAAACTTAACTTCGCTGGTAAGAAAAGTACATAAATAAAATTCATAAAACTTATGTTTCCACACAGTCTAATAAATGAAGTGTTGAATTTACCAATCCACTAAACCGAGTTGAGTAAATTGAGCAACGAACAAATGTTCTGGTCATATTTAAAGTTGTAACGTGTAACCAGATGTTCAAATTTAAAGTAAAGAAGCAAAGGTATAATTTTAATGTTTTGAATGTAACAAAATAAAAGTAAAAGTTATGATTAAGACATACTTCTTAAAAAGACAAATTCTCAAAAAAATTACTTGAATACAGTAATGAAGTAAAGGTACTTACCACACACACACAC